GACTCAAGGCTGCTTCCTCCTCTGCGATCTAACCCCTCGAGTGTAGCAAAGATCCCAACTCCAAGCAGAACGCACCCAGCACAGCTCAGCACTCCTAACTAGAGTTAGAGGTCACTCAGAGACCTGATCACAGCGAGACAAAGACAGACAGCAGGATCAAAGGCATCCAGATCGAAGACAAATATCCAGGCAGACACCGTTTGAAAGAAACATGAGGCAGAGGGAACTTGAGTCAACCACTTTCTGAACTTTAATGGGAAAAAAAAGCTCTGTGTGTATTCGAATCATGTCATGCTGTAGCATATTTGACACTTCAAAGCCATCGCAACAGCATTTTGTTATAGCCTACCACAAGTGTAGCAGATGCTTTATGTCACTGTAGTGATATAAATCGTTATAGAAGTGCTAAGAGTCAATTTCTGCTGGGTTTTATATTTATTCTATTTTTTATGGAAAAGCAGAATGACAGATTAACAGTTTGGTCAACTCCTGCCTGAGAAAAACCCTATCAAATTGAAAAGGCTTTAAACCACAACATGACATATTGTTTTTAATCAGCAAAACCTTCCAAACAGATTGGAGACCAGACTTCAGACTCAATGTGGAGCCAATTTTGTTCTCAGCATGAGCTCATGCAGAGACAGGAGGCTGAGACGAAACAAGGGAAAACGGTTGAACAAGGAATCAGCACTAATAACAATTTAAAGGGAACAAAAGCAACCTTTGATTTGGTTGTGATTTCAGTCTGACTCCATCAGCTCAAACTTTGTCTCAGATGTGGTCGCTCTCTGGGCTGAGGCTTAGCTTAACTTGTTGCTGCAGTTACTGCTTCAAACCTTGTGATGTGTATCTGAAGACTGAAATCTTTGCCAATTCATTTTTATAAAATATCTTAAATTCAGTTATACTGGATGGATAGAGGCTGTGACCGTAACACTTTATGTGTTGGCAGAGGATCCTAATTTTTTAGTTTTGGGTCATTTGAAGAAAACATACAGTATATACACTGCCTGGCCAAAAAACAAAGTTGCCACCAAAAAAAAGATAATTCACTCTAATACTTTGTTGGACCGCCTGTAGCTTTGATTACGGCACGCATTCGCTGTGGCATTGTTTGGATAAGCTTCTGCAATGTCAAAAGATTTATTTCCATCCAGTGTTGCATTAATTCTTCACCAAGATCTTGCATTGATGATGGTAGAGTCTGACCACTTCACAAAGCCCTCTCTAGTACATCCACAAGATTCTCAATGGGGTTGAGGTCTGGACTAAGTGGTGGCCAATCCATGTGTGAAAATGATGTGTCATGCTCCCTGAACCAGTCTTTCACAATTTGAGCCTGATGAATCCTGGCATTGTCATCTTGGAATATGCCTGTGCCATCAGGGAAGAAAAAGTCCATTGATGGAATAACCTGGTCATTCAGTATATTCAGGTAGTCAGTTGACCTCATTCTTTGAGCACATACTGTTGCTGAACCTAGACCTGACCAACTGCAGCAACCCCAGATCATAACACCGCCCCCACAGGCTTGTACAGTAGGCACTAGGCATGGTGGGTGCATCCCTTCACCTTCCCTTTCTTCTTACCCTGATTCGCCCATCACTCTGGAACAGGGTAAATCTGGACTCATTAGACCACATGACCTTCTTCCATTGCTCCACAGTCCAATCTTTATGCTCCCTAGCAAATTGAAGCCTTTTTTTCCGGTTAGCCTCACTGATTAGTGGTTTTCTTACGGCTACACAGCTGTTCAGTCCCAACCCTTGAGTTCCCTTCGCATTGTGCGTGTGGAAATGCTCTTACTTTCAGTATTAAACATAGCCCTGAGTTCTACTGTTGTTTTTCTTTGATTTGATCTCACCACACATTTAAGGGATCGCCGATCGAGATCATTCAGGATTTTTTTTCCGGCCACATTTCATCATTGAAGATGATTGGTCCCCACTATCCTTCCAGTTTTTCATAATGTGTTGGACAGTTCTTAACCCAATTTTAGTAGTTTCTGCAATCTCTTTAGATGTTTTCTCTGCTTGATGCATCCCAATGATTTGACCCTTCTCAAACAGACTAACATCTTTTCCACGACCACGGGATGTGTCTTTCCACATGGTTGTTCAGGGAAATGAAAAGCAAGTCATTGCACAAGTTGGGGTTAAATAACTTGTTGCCAGCTGAAACATAATCGCCCATGCAGTAATTATCCAATAGGAGGCTCGTACCTATTTGCTTAGTTGAATCCAGGTGGCGACTTTTTTTTTGGCCAGGCAGTGTATAAACATATTACTAACAAAACCCTTCCAGTGTAGCTCTGGCTTTATTATAAGGGTTTTTCTCCAGATGGAAGATAGAAATTAAATTGTTTTTTGTACTTTTTACCGGCTGCTCAGTAGGGCAGTGGGTAGCACTGCTGCTGCATTCAGCAAAAAGGTTACAGGTTCGATTCCCAGCATGGAGAATCATGGAGCATGGAGAGCACTTCCCTGCATGGAGTTTGCATGTTCTCCCTAGCAATGCCATGTGTGGGTTCTCTCCAGGTACTCCAGCTTCCTCCCACAGTAAAAAAAAGACTGCTAGATTAACTGGCTTTTATAAATTCTCCTTAGGTGTGAATGTTGTTTGTCTCTGTGTTGCCCTGCGATGGACTGGTGACCTGTCCAAGGTGTACCCCACCTGTAGACTGCTGGGGATAGCAGCCCCCTGGCTGGGATTAAGTCTGACAGAAAATGGATGGATGGATGTTTTTTCTACCTTGTAAATAGTTTGGATCCAGAATTAACCATGAATCAAATGCACTCGATCCCATCAACCAGCCTCTTTGGACAGAATGATAGCTTTCTCAGAGTGAAATGCAGTGTTATTTCTCATGCAGGACAGGAGGTACAGTTTAGATCTTATCTGACTAAATACATAAAAGACAGTCAGATAAGATCTGCAAATTCTAGATCTTAGATTGAATGCTACCTAATGAAATGTTCAATAACATTTATAGAGCTTTAACTCTGACCTATCTGATGATCCCCTCTTCATTGTTCCCTTTGTTCTCCAACAAAACCTGAGAAATTTACTGAACAGATACAGTGTTTACTTAGAGAATAAACTACAGTGGGATTTTGTTCTTGGTTGCACAGGATTTTATCTGGGGCATCAGAATAAAGGGGGCTGAATAGTAAAGCGTATCAAAATGTTTTGGGTGTTTTTTTTTTTTTTTTTTTTACACATAAACTACTTTGTTTTAGTGTAGTAAATAAAATTGCAATCTACTTAGTAGATCATGGTTTGTGATAGTAATATGAAAAAAGTTGAAGGAATCTGAATACATTAGAAAGACATTGAAACTTTGTGTCTTTTTTGAATTTGACAGTAGAATAGACTGTGAGAAGGTAAGGAAGACTAGAGGGGTGTTTCATAAAATGTTTCTTAGTTTAGCCAGCTAAGTCACGCTTAGCAGGCCATGTCTGGCTTATTTCTTTTGTCATTTGGATTTCCAAAACCCAGTGAACAGAGCCTGGTCTGGACCAGCTTTATAGCCAGCTAAATTCAGAATATGAGTCTTCTTTGTTGAATCCAACACAGAGGGCCCAGTAGGTGAAGGAAAGGGTATTAGCGCCATCACTTGGTCAAAATGTACGGTACGATCAGTGACGGTTATAAGCTGCATGTCATCAAATGAAAATCATGCAATAAAATAAAACACAGTCATTTAGGGAATTTATCATTTATTAAGACGTGTATATATCTTTTTTTTGCCTTTTAAAATGAACCTGGTGATGGGGAGAGGGGTTACCCAGTATCCCATTTCTTCTTGGATCAAATTACCCTTTTTTTTTCTAAAGGGTTAATTTAGTTGCTTGCAGCTTTCCCACAGAACAGCTCCTTTTAGGCCCTATCTGTTCCCAGACACTTTGCAGAGGCCTGTACATTTTTCTCAGTAAGGTAAATTCACGCAGGGCAACCCACCCCAGTCTTCATTATATTAGTTTTTAATTATTTTTTTTTTACGATTCATATAAATATAGATAACTGAACAAGTAAATCTGGCCCAGATTTATAGAGCCTGGATCTTTTTGTTGATTGTGGAAATAAAGATAATTTGACCAATCAGAGTTTATTTTGAAATAACTTTTTTTTAGTGCTAACAAGATTCCTGTTGACTACATCTTAATTAAAGGCAGTTTGGCACTTAAAATGGTAAATATTCTTTTGACTACGTTTTCACTAAAATCATTGAAATTCTCATTTCATTGACACTTGTTTAAAATGTTAAAATTAACACTGCTTAAATATCACATATTTGGAGAAATCTCTGAATGCAATTAAAAAGGTGGCGATTCATGTATTTAATTTATCAAACCCTTTCCCTTCTATTCGTGGAATCAGTATTTCCTTTTTATTTTCAGTTATATATGATTAGGTTTCTCATTGAACTCTTGTGACGACTGCACTGTCTGCTCATGTGAATGAAAACACCAGTTAATATAACCTGTCCTGAATTAGTAACAATCAAATCAGGTGTCCATTATGTTAAACCCAGTAATCTTGGTTTGACTTGTGCCAAAGATGTGTCAGAACTGTGCGTTTAAGTCTAGCTTTTCTGAACAAGTTTTATGAAATACCCCTCAAGGATTTATTTGCTGAACTGAAGGCGTTGCTCCAGGTCGTTGTGGTAAATCTGAAGCGAAGGTAAAAGTGAAAGTTCTAGATTTACCGGTTCATCAGCATGCCAACCCTCAGCTATGGTCGTGAGATAAGAATCATGATCAAAACAAGATTGTAGATCACCTGCTTCAAATTATCAACCTCTGTTAGATAGTTGTTTCTTTCTGGTCGCCCCAAGGTTAAGGCCAGGATATCAATCGCCTGCTTGGAATGTTTGAGCAAGGCTGCTTAATTTCTTCTATAACCGACTGAAATGTTTACATGAATACATTAAGAGGCACATAGCAACTGGACTTCTCCTGTATGGCTAAAGAGAAAATATATCCACATAGAAATCAGTATGGATTTAAACAGGTTTATCATAACATATATACACCAATGAGAGGCAATTAACATACATCAGCATAGAAAAGGTCTCCATAAACGTTTTAGCAGCCATTCTAAGTGCAGTTTTTCATCCCTCCCCATGGTAGATTTACACCAAAGTATAACATTACTAAGGAAATCAGAACAAAAGGAAACCATTTTTCTTTCCAAAGCATTTAGAAGAAATAGCATTTTTTTCTATATAAACACAGTTTTTACATGTTTTCATTAAGGGTCAATTTCAGTTTTTATATTAGATTGCCAAGATTTCCTCTGCTATATGCTGTATTACTGCTTTTGTGAAAATAGTTGAATTTGTTTTTTCAAACAACTCACTGCCAAATGTGATGGAATGTGATCAGCGAAAAAAAAAAAAATATTTATCAAATACCATTTTTTCCCCTTCAGTTTAAAAATTACATCAAGAAATAATTGTCAGTTTGTCCTTCACTCATATAACAAAAGTGAAATAATATCACTATAAATTATTCAAGCCTGAAAGTATTTTCCCTGCATTAGACATAAAATATTTATATAAATTCCTTTTTGTTTGCAAATATTTGTATGAAATTACCACACACAGTAACTTAAAAATGAATCAGTAAATTAAAGGAAGCAGGAAACAGAAACCGGGTCCCCTCAGCGATAGAGACACATGCTCGTGCTCTGGTACAGGTACATGTAGGCATCGCAGAAGAGACGCTTGGCCACGCCTTTCATGTTACGCGGGACCTGACTTGCCAACTCAGCCGGAGACATTTCCAAGTACATGCCCACCTCAGGGCAGGCTTGTACTTCAGGAATGTTGAAGCCGTCTCTTTCTCCTAAAAACAGCACACAAATTAAATAAACTTGTTATGTTTGGAGAAATGCTGCATTAAAGCTCCACGCCTACCTTGTCTGTCCGCCATGCTGTCGAAGAAGATCCAGTCCTCCTTGTTTGGTCCATGCTTGACAAAGGACACGTAGTGACTGGTCTCGATGCAGAGCACGGCGAACAGCTCCAGGCGGTCTCTGGTCAGTGTGTGAGGGACGCCACGGCCGAGGTAGCCTTTAGGTATTTCCAGAGCTGCAGGCTGATGAGAGTGGCGCTGAGGGTGAGAGTGCACCTGTGGAGAAATACAGACCCCATTAAAATTTTCAAAAATGACCTTATTGAGTACACTACAAATGCAAAATAATGAAGATGCAGCAGATAAAGTGCAGATGGTCTTGTGATGCTGGCTGAGTGCTGTGTGAATAACTACTGGACCAGCCTCACAAAACAAAAATAACTTTAAAAACAAAAATCCCTATTCTGATATCTCTTGCAATGTATGAGCATTATTCTTACAATCTGTAGCTGCATACATCGTATAAATGCAACTTCTATATTTTTGGACATAAAAAAGCTAATTCATGCTATGAAAGGAGGTTAATTAATCTCAGATGAAGGACAACAATAAAAAATATACTACTAAGGGAATTAACATACATATATTTAAATAGTCTGTATTTTACCATTTCATTCATAGCTTTCTGTGCAAAAGGAGATGTTTTCAAAGGTAGCCCTATAAATAAACTTTAGTTTGAACTCAGAAGTTTAAACAACCCACCTGAGCTGAACACTTCTTACAGAAGACTTTAAATCCTGTTGGGTTGAATATTGGCTCTTTAAAACAGTCTCCACACTCTTCCACTGCCAAGTGTCCGCACACAATGCACTGTTGAGGACCTGAAACACACACACACTGAGTTCTTTTCAATGTTTTGCATCATCTCTGCTCAAATGGACGTGTTTTTAGCGTACCTTCAGAGAGGAGGTCGGTGATGTCCAACTCCAGCGACGGAATAATTTTTTCAAACATCTTGAATTTCTTTCCAAAGCGAGGCATTTGGAGGATGAGGCAGGAAGGCACCTAAGGTTTAAAGACAGGGAAATAAGGAAAGAGGATTCGCTGAGAAAAATGTTCAACAGCGGCACCTAATGGCAGAAAAAGAGGGGGCCTCAAAAAGGCTGAAATGAAACCAGTAGATCTCATCCTTTATCGATGAGGGAAGGTGAAAGAAATTTTTTTTATAGGAAATTTTAAATATAGATTCAATTTTTTCATTTCAGTGCCGTTTTTAATTAAGTATTATGTTTCAGTTATTTCTTTTCAGATATATCTTTTTTATTATTTAATGTTTTATTCTCATTTTATCGTATTTGTTGGTCATTTCAAGATACTTGGCGGTCACATTGTTGCTCTTTTTGTATTTACCTTGCATTCTGTGCATTTGATTCATAGCCAGTGTTTTTCCATTAGGGAATAAGATGATGATTCATTCTCTGCCATTACCTTCTATGACTTTGAAATTATTTATCTACAACCTTTTATTTTCCTTAGTTACAGAAACAAAACGTGGCTTGATTGATTCAATTAACAACTGAACTATGAACAAACCTACTCTTTCATGACAAAATAAAACTGGGAGCTTACCTCTGCCAATTTGAGTCCTGCGTTATGGAAGGAATGTTCTAGAAGCTGTTGGACTGTGGGCAGAATCAGGCTGTGGTTCTGGTCCAGGAATATCTGGTAGCAGTAGCTCTCCTGTACTTTACCAGCAGCTGACCTGTATAAAGAGAGAAAGAAAAAAGTCCTATCCATAGTATTTTCCAGTTAAATCAAAGAATAGGAAGAAAGGAAAGAGTACAGTTTCAGCAGAGGGTCAAGGGCAAGAATGTGGTGCATCACTATGTTGAGGAACTCCTCTGGATCTGAAACACACAAGACACATTTCTACTTTAGCTTTTTATCTCAGAATGTTGGACGGAATGTTTTTAACTTTAGGATCAAACTGACCCTTCTCCTCAGTGGTGAATGAGTGACTATAGCCGTGATCCTGCAGCTGCTCCCGAAACTTCATGATGTTTTGTCCCAGAACGAATCCCTTACTGCAAACAAAACACTCATCACGTATTTCTGTTTCCCCCAAGCAACAGAAATAAAAGGGGAAATGCAGACACACACCTGCGGAGAGGGTTTACAATGTCATGAAGCAATATTCTCTGGATTGGAGCGTCTTGAGGAGTTGTTGATTTGAACAACATGGAGTCCAACACAGAGGAGCAGGAAAACAATCTGAGCATGAAAGTGAGAAATACATTTAAAAGTTAGTCATATTTACCTTTTTTTAAATATTTTTGGACACCATGTAATTTTCTTTCCTAGCAACAAGTTCAAAGCAATGACTTAGTCACATTATAGCATTTTTTATTATCTTCTCATCATAAATTTGTGATCCTGACCCAAAGAGGGCAGCGTCCATGTAGCAGGAGTTACAGTGTCCTTGGATCCCTTTCATCCGACCAATCAGAAGCTGGTGGACCTGCTCTGTGCTGATTGGAGGAACTGTCTCCAGCTTCCCTGTGCTGCCATAATCATCATCTTCTTCTGTTTACAAAGATAAACATGATCGACTGAGTTCAGATCCACCAAATACAGGACAAATGATTAAATACAAGAGACATTTGAACTGAGGTAATTCATGAGTTTCATTTAATCAGTGAAAGGAAACTTACAGTAGTGGCCATTCGAGTCTTTAAAACCTCACATTTCACAATTTGCCAAGCATGGTGTTGGTAGCATCATGCTGTGGGAGTGTTTTAATGCTAGTGGTGCTGGTATATTGCTTAAGTTTCAATATTGAAGAGGAGCCCTTAACTTCTAATTTTTATTTTGGATTCATGATTTTAAAAATCTTTAACTTAAATCTCAAAACAACAAATTCAGAAGCTGGTAAAACTTGGACACAATGGCATGTAACTACAAGATATTCCTCCAAATATTAATCATAATGTCTGAAGTGTCAATGCCCAAAAACTGACTGACAAATGAAAGAAAGCATAACAATTCAGTCAGCCAAGTTGGCATTTATTTTTAAGTCCCCTATCATAAAAAAAACATTTATTTATTAAAACTTTAACTTTACTTCCCATTACTGCAAACATACGGATCATTTGTGTTATCGCACACAAATAAGACAATCCCTTTTATTTATTTTAAGTTAAGCATATTCCTGCTTTGTTTATTAAAAGAGAAATATTCTTCCCAAAAAAAAATTATCTTGAGATATTAAGAAACAGATTTCTGATGTATAAGTGTGACTCAATTTGAAAAATTATCCTGCTCAACTAAATGGCACCGTCACTGCAATCCAAGAGTAAAATTATATTTTTTGTGCACTTTAAAAAAAAGGAAAAAAATGCTTTCATAGTTGGATTACAAAAAAATAGACAAAAATCTATTTTTTTTTTTTTTTAAGAAAAAACTTTTTTTTTTCCCTTCACACTTATACAAGTTATTGAAGTTGTATGTTTTATAATCACTGCATCAAACAAAAACAGTTTATATAAATAAAGATTTAAACCTGTTTTCTTTCTGATAATTCAATAGAAATTTCTAACAACCACTGTAAGTCTGAACTGACCTTTTTTATCCAGTTCTGGCATCTTCTTGACATTGGCTGGTATGTTCAGAAAGCGTGAATCAGGACGGCAGGACTGCGGCTTCACAAACAATGCTCTCTTTGGAGGACAGGTGAAATAACGCTTTTCTTTAAAGGTACCATCGCTCACGCCATCGTCCTCCTCCTGTAGACAGATTTAAATTGATCAGAAACCTTAGGGGTAACATTTCGATCATTTGTAAAAATAAATAAATTTTAAAAAAAGAGCCAAAACCAATAGAACTACTGTAAATACTGTATCCTCCAAGACAAAGAACCCAAGAACCTGATTATCTCTATAAGATGGAAAAGTAAACCAGCAAATTTTCCAATATCTCACATCATACAAGTCTCACTTGAGCCATTTATTGTGTAAAGAGAGTAAACATACTACATTAAATCTAATAATATGCATCAGTAAATGGATTTACCAACTCAATTCCAACCATGATGCCTTCACGGTTGGGTAGGTTGCCGATCCAGCGGACAATCCCATAAGAGTTCCCCTTCGCTAAAGTCACCTCCACCGCAGAATTTAGACTCATGCTTTGATCAGTGTGTGTTTCAACTTTTGGAGCATCAATATCCATGCTTTCAGGCCCTACAGTGCAAAGAAAGTGTCTGAATCAGTTTGAATAAAAACAGAGAAAACAGCTATAGACAAGTAACTTTCTACTGATACCTGAAGGTATTTCTCCTTTAGTGACATCGTGGAGCGGGACTTTAATTTCTACCCCTCTTCTTCCATTCTCCTTTAGGTCCTAAAAGACAAATAGAAAACATCATGTGAATAACTTTAGTCCGTGTTTAAGAAGAAGCAGGTTTAACTTAAGGTATGTGGCAATTTTAAGCAGAGCATTTTAGGCTATCTGGAGAAGTAAACTCAAAGATAATGTAAAAAAAACTAAACCATTTATTGTGTCAAATTAGTCCCCCAATAAAAACAAGAGGGTGCCCCATCTATTTTAACTATACAAAACTAACATATTCAATGTATATACATAGAAAAATATGTCAATTTGATCCCTTGGTATTGATAGCTTCAAAGTCAATTGTTTGAATTCAAATTCAACCTATTAATAAACACTGTTGTTAAGTTAAGATTATTGTGGAGAATCGAAAACAATCCATTTGATTGCATCACATCCCAGGCTTTGCAGAATTATCTCCCCCTAAACAGCAGAACCTGGCACAAGGTAAACTGTAATCTCCCACCAGCTCCCTCTTAAGCTCAGCCATTTGCCTCAAGTAGACGTTTGTGGTCAACAAGGCAGCATGGGACAAAATGGCAAAGAGCAAAAAGCAGAATATCGGGTCCCTTTGACCAAACCAAACCAGCTGCACAAGCCAGGCCTGGGAACCAATAATATATATATATATATTTTAATTCCTTTTATTTCTTTTACTTTGAATTAGAAAACGCATCTCTTTTTAATGTTACTAGGTTTGATGTTTAGAATTGACAGTTCTCTGAATTAAGAATGGAAATTTACTTACTGTGGAGATCCTAACCATAGGTGTTCCTGACTCTTCCTGAATGTCTAGTACCACACCACAGTGACATTTGTCTTTAATGAAGAAGATGACGCTGTCTCCTGGAAATATCTCTTGTGTTTGTTGTTCATAATGGAGGTCAGACTTGGAGGGAGAATGAAGGGTGGGAGCCGAAGGTTTAACTCTGCAAAAAGGGGCAAAAATGCCGCAGTTCTTCTCACAAGAGAATCTCTTCTGATATCCATAGGTCCCATCGGTATTTCCCTTCCCTCTGTCTTCTCCCTTTAGATCAAAGATTAGCACAAAAAAAATTGATGTCAAGCACAAATCTGTCGCATCACTACTTGTAAAATATTCTTAACCTAAAGATACTTTAAGTTATCCATTTGTGAGTTCTTCAATAGTTTCTTGGTACTCAGACCTCAGAAAGATGCAGGTAACCTTTTTTTTTTTTTTTTTTTTTTTTTAATACAGTAAAACTGGAGCAGAAAACATTGAAACACCAATAATTAAGGAAGCATTAATAAACCTGATATAAACTGTACTGAAATACTGGAAAACTTGTCTGGATAAAGGGCAATTAATGTAATCCAGATTAAGTGTGGTAGCAGGAAGAGAAAAAAGGTTGTTTTTTAACTGATAATGTTCATATGTGTCAGAAATAAAAGCACATAGCATGAGCAACTGGCAAATATGAAATATCTATATTTCAAGAAACATCATGTTAAGAATAACATGTTAACCTTTTGAAGTCATGGTTTTGTGAGGTAATATTTAGGATAAATAATTAAATCAATTTATCCTCCCAAATGGGTTAAACAACTAACATGTTTCCTTTTGGTGCCATGGAACGTGTTTATAGCACATAGGAAACTAATAGCAAAATTGATATAATCAGAAACCTAAATCAGGTCTAATACAAAAAAAAAACAGTCACAGAGGAGCAACAAGTTACACTGCCACTGCCAAAAACTAAATCTAACCATGCATTCCCTACAAAAATGAAACTATGTGCACAGTGCTTCAACGGGAATGAAAAACACGTAATAACAATGTACTAAAACTCAGAAAACAAAGATTATTTTCATAATCCTTGTAAGAAGAGATTTTTTTTTTCTTGCAGCTTTTATCATACAGCTGATTGTTGAAATCCTGCCAAGACTGAAAGACAACAGTAAACAGTAAAACATTGCTTTCATCCATTAACCTGGGAAGGAAATGATTTGATTTCATACAAACCTCCCCTGGAGAAGGCACACATTGCAATTAAATGGGAAATAACAGGATGATTAACAGAAGTCTGGGTAGCTGGTTTGGGCTTGTTTTGCAGCCACATAAACAATTAATAGAAGTTATTGTTGACAACGTGGATTTTACATGAAAACAAATCAAGCGGGTGTTCTTATTCATTACCTGCCTGCCCATACCAACCTTAATTATTAGCTTAAGTATTAGTGTTGCACCGATACCAGTATAGGGCAGGGCCCCAAACCAGCACTAAAATGGTGGTATCGGTACCATCAATACCATTTTTTAGAGCCAAAGTTTAATCTACTATTGTCACCCATTCCAGGTGGGCAATAAAAGTTCTACTGGATTCCCTTTGTATCAGTCTTTTTCCTTCTTCACAAAGGTAGGCAGCAGCTTGACAAAGCCATGATGGCAATTGTTTTACATTCAAGTAGTATGCAGTTCTTCATATACACACACACACACCCACCAATGTTAAACAGATGGTGTCGGTATCAGCATCGGCCGATTCTGCACAGCTGCAACACTACTGATGATTGCACAGCCATGACAATTAGTTATATGAAATGCATCAACCATCTAAAGGTGGCTTTTCTGTATTTTTGGCAAAACCACCGAATTCAAGGTGATTGCATTTATGTGTATAATATGTTATGCTTCAATGATAGAAAAGTAACAGCCTCATCTTCAGAGGTGTCAAGTAGCAAAGTACAAATACTTTGTTACTATACTTAAGTACACTTTTTAAGTATCTATACTTTACTCAATTACTTATTTTTCTCCCTACTTCTGACGTCTGCTCAGTACATTTTCAAACAAGTATCTGTACTTTCTATTCCCTACATTTTTAAAACAAATGTTACTCGTTACTCTTGGCTTCGGTTTTATGTTTATAAATATTTATTTCATATCAAATACAGATCATTGGTGCTATCCACATCTAGTGAAAATTAGTGTAATTGGATGAGTCATATAACGCGAACACTCATTGGTTAGCTAAAGGAAATCATCAGTAGCAAGCAGTTGTTCTTCAAACTGCAAAGGTGAATTGTCTATGCTATGCTACAATGTCGGATTCAGAAAAAGATGTTGAAATGCCTGAAACGTCGGTCACAGGTGAGAGCGTATCGGGAGATGGAGACGGAGACCAACAAGACCTCCCTCATCCCTGGCCCTATCTCAAAGAAATTTGCGAAATAGTTGAACAATTGAGCTTTAAAATTCATATAGTGGAATCTGGCTGTTTTTTTTAAAGGTTACTTTATACTTTTATACTTTAAGTAGTTTTTGGAGCACATACTTTTTCACTTTTACTTGAGTAAAGAGGTCGAGTTGATACTTCAACTTTTACCAGTGTTTTTAAACTGCAGTATCTATACTTTTACTTAAGTAACAAATGTGTGAACTTTTGACAGCACTGGTAAAGTTGGAGCGTCCAGCACCAGGCTACACGTGATGCAAATTAGCCATTGACCTGTGACAGTCTGGGTTGATGCTGCGAGCCACTTTTAGACACAGCAGGCAAACCTGCTGTGGAAAAAAAGGAGAAGATGATGAGAAAAAGAAGCAGAGAAAGTGTGGACTGCTGGAAGAACTGCGATGAACTGGTGACAGTAATGTGAAATGGTGTGCTCAGAGATGACCCTGCACAATTTGAATATGTTTGGCTCAACCTACTGATGTGAAGCAGGATTCTCCACCATGAATATACGGTATATAAAAAAATAAATAAATATCAATCAAGGCTCAAAATGAGCACCTTGATTTGTGCTTGAGAATGGCTTTGTCTCCATTCAAACCCAGGTTTATAAAACTTGCAAGGCAGCATAAAGCCCACTGCTCTCATTAAGCCATAAAAGAGAGAAAAAAAAGGTCAGTTTACCTGTAGTTCAATTCCAAAGTATCTTCCTGTTATAGGGTGCAGATAGCTTGGGTCTACAATGGGTCCAATGTAGCGAATGATGCCTCTCAACATCTGTCCATCTTCTTCAACCATCACATCTGTTCCCATGGTGAGCTCCAGGGCTGCCAGAACAGCATATCCGTCTCTGATCCAGTTTAGCCTCTCAGACTCAGGCTGGCAGGCCAACAGGAGGTCAGCCTCATCCGCATCGAGTTTCTTTAAGCATTTTATCTCAATATCACAAGTCACACCGGTGCTCGAGTTTAAACACTCTACTGGTAACTTTGTGGGAGGACTGCGCTTGGATGTTTCAAACCTATACTTGAACTCCCGTATGTACCATAAACTCCCAAGCTTGACGCTGTAGTAGAATTTAGGTTTTTCTGTTAGGATGAAATAAACATATTCTGAAGAGCTCATGTTGTCCAACCCTGGAGATATAGCAGAGCTCTGCACAGAGACACAAAACAATGACAAGTTTAGTTTAGGGTTAATTATTTGCTTGGCAACACTGCAGCTAGGTCGTTAGCAAATTGCAAAGTGTAATACGACACTGGGATACTAGTGTCATAAAATAAATAAACCTAAAATTAACTGAACTTTTTAGAGAGTTTATGACTAATGGATATGTTTGTAGACTTACCGAGTCTGCTTTAGGGTTTAATCTCTGCTGTTTCGAAGCTGTTTTCGCTAAACGTCCGAGCAGCTGCCTGAAGTTTCACTTCCCCTTTCATTTCATTTCGCTTTCACCCCGCAGCAGTTTTTACGGTGCTCCGACAGACGCGACAAAACGCGGAAACGCAATTTAAATCTTCTAAATATGTATATGAACACCTAGGACTTTGTCCTCTAGCGCCGTTTTCTGTTAAAATGCGTTAAACTAGGAGTAATGTCAGTGACACAGATGTTTTTAAATCTGTTGACAGGTAGGAACGCTTATCCTGAGAGGCAGAGGGGAATTGCAGCCCTCAGTAATGTCTTGAAGGCAGGCTGTGGAGACTTTCCTCGTTTTTGCTATTCGTCCACATTTCCGCATCAGACTTTATCTATATTTGAGATCGAGTTGAATATCTTCATCAGACTTTATGTTAAACATTATTTTTATGTAGGTTATCTTTCCCAGTGCTTAGGTCACAGGCGTAACCAGAGAAATGTGTATTGATCGATGGTTTTCCCTTCCAGCTACATCAGTGATTAACCTCCTTTAAAAGCAGCAAAATCAAATTTAGAAATGTGTCCCACATATTGCTGAGAGCCAAAGTCTACTGAAATTATTGATGGGTCATGTCCACACCAGTCCTTCAGAATATGGAGGACTAACTCTGCCATATTTAAAAAATAAATACATAAATAAATAAATGTCCAATAAATAAATAAATAAGCATATAATTAATTGCCCCCAAAATACAATAAACAAACAAATGTAGGTAGAAATGAAATTATACAGTGAGACATAAATGTATATATCTCTTTTAATTAGCTTCTTTATTTATTTGCCTTTGTAATAATTACCTTACTTATTTATTGCCCATTATTATCTTCAACTTTATTTATTTATTACTTATTTTTTTGTTATTTATTTATGTGCATTTGATAATATTTTTGTCTGTTTTAGTCTTCCTTTGTATTTTTTTTTTTATTTCTGTATGCATTTCTGCCTCATTATGCAAATGAGGAAGGGGTGTGTTTAACAAAAGTTCTAAGTTGTTGAAAGAAATGTCTGCTGATCTTATGAAAACTTAAATCGAGAGAGCAAAAATCTGCAAGTGGGCTATGCCTGCAAGTCAAGAGCGAGGGCATATAGTGCGGCATCTTTTAGCTGTGATTGGTCAGAATATTGCACGTGACTCAAGAGGATATGACGTAGCGGTGCATTGGACGTAAACATGGAGGAGAGAGAGGCACTGAAAAGGCAGATTGAACTTTTACAAGGTTTCTTTCTGTTTTTTGATCATTTTATAATGTTTTCTGTGACACCAGCGAGGGATGAAACCTTCCTGCTGTTGTTTGCTGTGTTTACATCAGATGTCTGTAGTGCTGTGCAGCTTCTTTTCACACCGTTTAGATGGAAACGTTAACCGTTGGTTTTATGCTTAGATTAGCTTCAAGGACTTTAATGCCTTTGATGTGCGAACATAGATGTTTATTTGGCTTGTCAAATATTTTGTTACTTTCGAGGCAAAGAGTTGTGTTGTATCGATAATTTTTATTGTTCTGTGTACTTGAATGCGTTTGAGAGAATCAAATTAGATGATAAATTAATTTATCAAAATTAAAACAACCATTGTTTCCCCTTAGTTGCATTAGAGTTTGTTTAATTTTATATCAACTATTTAATGTTGGTTAAATAGTCTTCTTAAATCTTCTTAAATAGGTAGTCTTCTTTGATGGAATGAAAAAAAACAAACAGTAGTGAAACCTGTCAGTCATCCAAGACATCCAGCAAAAAAAAAAAAAAAAAAAAAAAACTGCACTTCGATGCTTTTAAATGCACCTTTCTTCATTTTAGAAGGAAAAAAGGAACGAAACATCTAAGAACATGAGAATCAAAGTGTATTGTTTTTAAAAAAAACCCTAAACAAATAAGATACTTTCATTCTGGAAAATGACAAAACTAACCTAAAGTATTTGGAGATAATAAAGATTATGTTTTCTTCCCAGGGGGTACAATGGCTTTATATCTTTAACCAAAATTAAAGTGTGAGAAATGACAGGATATTCATTCCATATTGTTAGGATATTTAACCTTAAATGAATGAGAAATCTCTTAAAAAGTTAGATTTGCAAAGTTTGTTCTTTGTTACAACAGATGAAACCATCAGGATTATCTTAAACAATGATAGTAATCACCTTTTTTGTTACTGCAGTTTAAATTGCAATGAAAGATGTCATCCCAAAGGGGAATTATGGGGTGTTGCTCAGGGAGAGTTTCAATGCATCAAACCGGTAAGGACTAGCGGAGCTGGGTCAGGAGTCTTGAGAAAGTGTGCTATCCTTATGGAAGGAGGTAGGAGGGAGCTTGTATGCTTCCTATAATAGCTCCTCTATAGCATAGGGAGCTCGCTATGTCCTTCACTGGAGCTAGAGAGCTGTAAGTACTTCCACAATGCTTTGCATGACAGCAGGTATGGGACCGCCCACCTTACAGATGTTAAAGGTATAGTGGAGGATGTCCTTTTTCCAGGTGGATCGTCTAATTAAGTGGTCCTCCTCATTGTCAAACATTCTGGTGATATGTTTACGTAAGGTCGTCCTACATGCTCATCTCCATTTTCACTTACCGGTGATGAGTCTGACATAGTGGAAAAATTGAGAGTAAGATTTTGAGAGTAAGATTGTATGAGCGATGCAAACAGCAAATTTTAAACAGAGCATGCACGAGGAGAAATGGGCTAGTGCACGCTCTCGCACGTGCTTAATAGGCGTTCCCTCTAGGGAATAGGTTCAAGGTTGTGTGTGCATTTTCTTTTATGGGGAGAGGGCAGGCCTTTTTATAAATTCGTTAAGATCCTCCACAATACCTTTAACAAAATAAATTTGTATGACATACTCATATACACACCTTCATATGCTTTGCTTTGTGTAATGGAGAGCTCCAACAGTTCTCTACATTTGTTTAAGCTCTGTTTTTTTATGGAAGACTAGTATCAGATTAGTGTAGCACCATCATATGCGTTTTCAGCATATGATGACATCTGGGAGGCTTAAGGCTTTGAATTTGGCACTGCAATCTAGACGTCCTTTCCTACCCACTATAGAGTTGCTACTGTTGACCCTATAAAAGGTGAAAGAATTGAAACTAGGAGCTAGAATTCAATTAATTTTGATAAAGCCACAGATTAACTGTCTGAGGTTTGAATTGACAATCTTGTGGCCTCTCCAGGAAGCAAAACCCCTGTTTATACGGGCCTGTAAGTGATTGTGTGGAGCCATAACGTCAAAGATACCCGACACATATCCCCCCTAGTCCTTTCATAAATAGATGGTTCCACTAACTGTGTGCATTTTCAGTCTCAAAACCCAACTTCAAATTCAGAGGATTTTGCATCCCAGCCTGGGTATGTAAGCACCTATGTAAGTATGTAAGCTTAAGAAGGACCTGTTCAGATTTCAGGTTTGGAAAAAACTATTTAACATCCAAGATATAAACTTAATGAGTGGAAAAAAACTCCCAGATATTTGTGTCAGTTTTTCTCTGTTTTATGATTTATTGTATGTCTCTTAAGTCATTTTAAATAAAAAAATGGTCAATTCTCAGATCTTATCAATAAGCATAAGAGCGTCCATGGAGATGAACCAATCACCGCAGCACAGCAGAGGCAACCTGAAGTTTCTACAGCAGCCATAGGCAGAAGTTTCAGCACATCTGTTTTCCAGCCTCATAGCTCCAGTGGGAAGCCCTATGCTCCTCAGAGCCGTGGAAGTTGGAAAAAAACATACTCTCTGAGGAATAATGCCCCCCAGTCCTCTGGGCCACCTCCATCAGGGGCCCCCTCCAATCCCCTTCATCCATCAGCCTCCAAATATGGAGCTGGCAGCATTCCTGCAACAACATGCAGCAGAGAGAATCAAACCAATCTCACCAAAACTGTCACTTCATTATCAGGGAATCTCACTCAGAAGAAAGAGGGAATTGCTGGCAGGCTAATGGGGGTGAGTGGAACAGCAACAGCACCTTCAAACACTTCTTCTGAAAAGCAAGGTTCAAGTTCAGGTGGAGCCAGTATCCATCAAAATGCACCAAAGACTCAGGAAGGTCATCAAAAGGCTGAAAACAGACTTGTCATCCTGCCAGGAAAGAAAACAAGTGCTTCCTTTAATGTTTCATCTGTTGCTAAAACAAACACTTTAATAAGTTCTCAGAAAAGGATTCAGGTGCAGAACAAGCCTTCCCTGAGCAATAAAGCCAGTCTAGAAACTTACAGGACTAAAAATTTTCAAGGTATACCAACTCAGTCCAGTGATCCCACCAGACCGGCTCTACTTTCTCCCTCTAAGGAATCAAAACTCTCATCCCAAACCCCACAAGGACAGGTTAATGCACCCTCAGTACAAAAATCCAAATTCACCTGGGTGAAGAGCCAGACTGTAGAGCTGGAGCCGAAAGCAGTAAGCTCTGTTTCTATACCAATAAAAAAAGTTACTACTTCTCAGGCATCGGCCCTTAAAGCTTCAGTTGGGAGTCCGTTATCAGGTGCATTAAATAAGAAAACGCCTAAAAAGTTTCCCAGGAAACTCAGTCCTGTCACCATAGCACCTAAAACCTCGAAGTACAGATGGGTTTCATCCTCTGGAGTCCAACCCAAGACACAGCGCAAACCGTTGTCTCCCAAAGCCCTAACTGTTCCTCAGAAAGTCCTGGAGAGAAGAGATGCTGCCAAGAAGCTTAAATCAGCCTCCACCCCCCCTGCAAGACTGAAGAAGGGAATCACAGCTTCATCTGCCAGCTCAGCAGTTGTGAGCCGTTACCGTTGGAAGGCCGAAGGGTTAACAGCAGGGTCGCTGACAGGAACCGCAGCAGCCGGCAGCCATAGATCTGCCTTTCACTGGACGGCAGAGAAAAGCAACAAAGGGCTAAAGGTCGGACATGTTTCTCCAACTTTATCTCAAAGGGCTTACCTCCGCTCCTCCCCTGGTGGGTTCAAGCTCCGTAGCAGGATGAAAATCATCAGGAAGTCTCCCTGCAGGTACATTCACACACTAGTTTTTTCTAGATAGGCTCTCTTTTGCCAGAAGGTGGCAGCAAAGGGATTAGAAAGTCAATTTCCATAACTTAGAATTTGGAATAGTGTAGCATACAAATATCTTTAAAACACATAAGTACGAAGAGGATTAAGGCCACTGAAAAAAAAAAAAAGTTAACTGATTTTTTAATTTTATTTCAGTTTAATATGGGAAAAAAGTCAGAATTCTGACTTTTTTCTCAGAATTCTGACAGCTAACAAACATGTTAGCATCAAGCCATAGCCATGTCTGTTTTAGAGACTAGCTCTCTTGTTTTAATGACCTTCTGTTCCTCCATTAATGAGGGGACCCCTCGGGCACGTAAAAAGTTGCCTAATTCCGTCATTTTCCACCAATGTGTGGTGGCCACCTCAAGCAACTCGCATCTTTGTCAGTGAAGCTGAGTGCTCCCACATTTCTTCCTTCATGGTGCCCATCTACATTAAGATCCTAAAGTCTGAGATTAAAATCAGAATTCTGAGAAAAAAGTCAGAATTCTGAGATTAAAGTCAGAATTCTGAGAAAAAAGTCAGAGTTTTGTTTTTCCCATGTTAAACTGAAATAAAATTTAAAAATCAGTTAACTTTTTTTTTTTTTCATTTGCCCTAATCCTCTTCTGAACACAAGTGATATATATTTAAAGGTTATTTATGTTAATATCTCTAGTAACCTAAGAGCAGTGAGCAGAGAAGTCCTCTTGCAATCCGAAAGTTATATGGTTGACTCCAACTTCCTCTTGTGAAATGTCAGTGTGCCCCCAGGCAAGGCACTTAACCTTGAGTTGTTTGCTGATTAGTTTATGTATAGAGAGTTTGATCAGGTGAATGTGGGTTAAGTGTTAAGTGCTTTGATTTGTCAGTAATAGCAAAAAAGTGCTGTATAGATTCAGTTCATTTACAGTTTTGGATAGGAATGAATGATCCTACATAAAGGTACTAAAATAAATTATATGCAGTTTAAAATGTTATTGCATAAGACAATTATAAAGTATTTTTTCCATGATATTAAGCTTTAAAATGCTGACCAGCTTTATAGAGATACATATTTCATTTTACAGCAGGACTTTGTACCTGTCCACACTTGATACGTGTCTATCCCCAATAATGACCCATTTTATGTCTCTTGGTCGACAAACTCTCCTAAACTTAACCTAACTGTGAATATGTTGAGTATATCCAAAAAGTAAGAGGAGAGATACATGCTAATAAGCTAAAGGCAGCTATCAAAGCTCCCTGAACAACTCAGCAGAAGACATTTCTGTTTTTAAAGTCTTTTCTTAAATATTTTTTACCTAATATTCTAATTTTCCAAGAAGAAGAGTTTTCAATTAGCTCAGTTATAAGAAATGAACAGAAATAAGTCAAATTTACTCAGTTACAGTTACAAACTTACTCAGTGTGAAATGCATACATAGACAACATCAAGATCAATCTACAAAATTCCATTTTTAAAATTATATCCTTGGAATAAGTTCCTCTTCATTTCTGAGATGTACCGGTCATTTTTGTTTACTGATATTCGTGTTCATCAGTGTGGTTCTCTCTCTGTTCTGATCTTCAGGGTAAACCTTTTTTCTCTGTTCTGTCTCCATGTTCTGCCTTCAGTGTCGGTTCATCAGAGAGGGTGAGCAGTCTGGCTTCAGGAAAGCTTTCTCCACGTAGTCGCCTGCACACCATCACCAGGAGCCCTGCAGGCCTTCGGAGGACACCTTCCAGGGAACTGGTCTGTTTTGGCAGACACAAGCTGAGGCGCCTCTCTCCCACTTCGTCAAAAAGTAAGAAACGCTCATCAGGGTACTTAAGATGGACCAGTTTCCTGTAAAGTAACTGATATGAATTGAAAGAAGCTATCATAGTTTGTAGTCCAGTTGACCCTGAATTGTTTTATCACTTAGATGCTTTGACATTAGCCTGTTTTTAAGGTTGATCATTTGTTGTCCCACATTTTAACCTTGTTTTATCAATTTAGATAAATAAGCAGAGATTTCTTGTTTAAGAGTTGCTGTTCTGGTCAAAATTGGAGCAATTACTATAAACTAACTTTTACATGTGTTTGTTTAGCTGTTCTAAAAGTAGCTGCTAAATAATCCCGTAAACCTTAACAGTTTTTACTGCTGGTTTCAAGTCCTACCATCTAGGATTCTGTGGCTCTTTTGTCTTCTAGCAGCAAATAGAATTATGTTTCAGTCAAACAGAGGGCTTTGAGATGTCATTTGACAGATTTCTGTTTTAACTTTAGCAGCTTAAACAGATTAAATATTAGTTTTCTTCAAAATGTTTGATTAGTGATTGTGGTTCATGTTTTCTGCTCTACTTATATGTTCCTGTTCATTGTTGCTCCCGCTTTAGTTCCAATCACTTTTAATGTCTCTATATATAATCCAGGTGTATATCAAAATATTATATTTTTTTTTTTACATTCGTAATACAAATACTAATAAAAGTGACACAAATAATTTGAAAGCATTGAAAGAAAATGTAGTCTGCGTGATTAGCAGCTAATGACGCTGACGTTGATTTCCCTATGACAATTTTCTTAGTCAAAGGGTTATTTTCATTTTATTTCAAATAACTGTTTTTGATCCTTTCTCTTTTAAGACCTTAAAGGCTTAATGGTCAGACTTGAACTCTTAAGATTCATAAACTACTTTTGAAATCACAGAAAGCAAGGCTGAGAGATTTATTGATTTTATTGATTAATCCAACTTCCATTTGATGAAGAATTTATTTATTTATTGGTGCACTTCCATAGTTCAGAGTGTCACTGTTTGTTTTTAGATGTATATTCATAACTGTTAATACCTCTACATGCAAGCATCCGGTTTGGCATAATTTCATTGTCTTCAATGGCAAAGCCTGCAAACTTGATTTATCAGCATGATTCACACTGTGATTTAGTTGTACTTTAATTTAGGTCAACTCACAGAAGGGATGTTTGAAAAAATAGTTGTTTAGAATCATTTTAGCCATTTTTCAACATAACTAAAGGTGTCAAAGAAAATCAATTAGTTAGATTTGGTGGGGTATTTATTTTTTAAGCCATGTCACCAAGCTCAAATGGGAAACAAAGAGATTAAAAACCTGTGATTTTAAGTAAACATGTTATTTCAAAATATATTATTGTTCAATTTTAGGACAATAATATCACTCATTAAAAATCATTGACCATCATTTTGATGTGTCAATTCAGATGTTTGCACCCTTCCGTTTGAGCTTTAGGATCTTGACCAGTTAGATCTCTATAAGGTGAGGCAATAATGTTTCCAAATGTTTTCTTCGTATAAAATGCATTTATTTATGTATCGCTCCAAACAAAATTCTGGTCTGCCAAATATCCACTCTTGCAGTTGCAGCACTGGTGCACATTAAATCTAGCTTTAATTTACTGCAGTAGTTAGAAAATAAAGAGTTTAAAGTTAATCATTCCACACTGATCAGCTCTTATAAAACAGTTTTTGAAGCTTTTATTGCTAAAAGCAATGCTTATCGGGTATCAATGGTATAAGGTGAAAGTATTTTTACACAGAGTTTGTTATGAATAAGAAGGAAGAGACTTTGCCTTTCAAACCTCCCACCCTCTTCTCCTGTAATTTAGCAGTTTGTAAAGTCTAGGCCCTTCTTTGGGGTCTTGAGGTTGCCTCAAAATGAGGTTTTATCTGTCTTAATTTAGCCATCACTAGTTTATTTTCTTACAGATCAACTTGGATTACAATTCATTTGTTATTGAAGAAAACATTTGGCCTCTTTGATTTAAAATTCAGTTGCTTTTTGTTTCTCAGGTCTAAATTTTTGGGGAACTAACTGATCCTTCAGATTATTTTACAAACAAAAAGTAAAACTAAGTTAGAAAGACAAAACTCAGGGGAGTGGTGGCCTGGTTAGGGCATTGCGCTTGGAATTCAGAGTTTTTAAGTTCTAGCCCCACTTCCACAGACTGCCACTCTGGGTCCCTGAGCAAAGAACCTAAACCCCACACTGCTCCTCGGCCGCCGCGCAATGGCAGTCCACTGCTCCCAAAGGGAATGGGTTAAATGCAGAAAGTTCATTTTGTTGCTTTGTACTTTTGACAGTATAATGACAATAAAATGACGGGGGGGGGGGGGGGGGGGGGGGGGGGGGGAGTGTTGCTAAGATAAATGAGGTGTAACTGCATTGTTGTTACGATTGAGAAGAGACATCTCTGTTTAAGCTAAAGGAACACAATGCCATATTTTTCTTTTTTTTTGGTTTTCTTTTAAACTTTTATGTCCATGTTGTTGTTTTTTTCCTACATACCAATTTCTGTTTGATTTTGTTTTGTAGTTTTCACTTCCAGTTTTGTCAGTTCGATTTTATATTACATATTTGAACCAGTTTGTGGCTTTTCCAGTAGAGGGCAGCAAATAGCATCCATGACCTGCCTGCAAAGGCTTTTTAGGGCCTGCTGCCACAGAAGGGGCTTACAGACAGATTATAAGAGGAGCAGGGAGGTGGAGGGGCCGGGGGTGTTAATTGATTGCCCAATTCAGCCGTGATGGCGAACAAGTGCCGATAGCGGGTAATTTGCAGAGGTGGATGCGAGCGGAGCTGCTGCTATCAAGCCATGGCACCGCTCTCCCTTCAGCAGATAAAAAGGAGCTAATGCATAATTATCCTTTTGCAAATTGGATTGTTTTAACGAACTGTAGAATATAGGCCTAACCTGATGGAAAGCAATCATTGTTTTTACAGCCCTCCCCTCCTCCCACTGTCTCTCCCTCCACTGGCCCCTCCAACCCTCCGGTCGTTCTGAGCGCACCCTACACGCCTCATGCCCATCTTGGTGTAATCTCCCATTCTCAGTGAAGTCAGAAGACATTAGAAAAGCCATCACTATTAACATTAGGCTTTATTCCTCCTCATGGCTCTCTGTCGAGCGCTCGGATTCTCTTGCCTCGGCCTGGATATTTTTCAGACCACCTCTTTTATCCCATACAAACAACCTAAACGCCATGCAGCAGAAACATGTGCATCCCTAATTAAAGACGGGTGTTAAGATTCAGACTCAGGAAAGGTGGAGCAGGGGTGAGTGAAGAGGAAGATGGAGCGAGGGAAGCTGCGCGTAGCCGTCTGCGACTCTGATAAGAGCCGCTAATAAAGAGCAAATTGAATTACTAATGATGGGAAGCAGAGTCCCTATAGATGAGCCCGTTAAAAACAACCTTATGACCACTCACACATGCATGATAATACACTCACAAACAATGTTTCTTAATTTCCTCCTCAATGACTGGTTTGAGCCTACTGGCCACCTTAACGGGGGGGGTTGGCATTCTGAGGTGCTTGGTTATCTCTGGTTTAATTTAAAGAGGGCATAAACCTTAGCAAGCAGTTGGGACTGTAATGAATCGATGGTGTGTGTGTTTGTGTGTGTGGAGTATGTACCTAGTGGCGCCCACGGAGCCCAGATAATCAAATAAAGCAGATAAATGTCAGGAATGGACGGAAAACTGTGAAGAAGAGTGCTGAGCCATGCGGCTTCAGGCCCCATGCAACAGCTTCTGGAGCGTCTTAGGTCTCTATCTAAACTCTAGCTTTTCCCTCCCTTTCCCTCAGACAGTGCGTCTCTTTACTCACTTGTTCTATGCTGTTATTAGTTAACAACCTGGCCTTTATAGAGGAAATGGCATTGTTGAAAGAAAACCAGATGTCATCTTTGCAGTTTACCACAAGACATTTGAGGACTCAGAAACGTGGGAGAGGGTGCCCTGGTCAGATGGGAGCAACGCTGAACGGCATATAGAACATTATCTGTGGACAACTAGCTGAATGTAACCTTGATCACATCTCTACTGACAAGCATGGTTATAGGTGCATGTTTTGGGATGCTTTTATTTAACAACAGTAGGGAAGCTAGTCTAAGTCCATAGGAATGTTAATGGAGCTAAATCAGGAGCAATATTCTAGTAGGATGAGCAAACATTTCAATCTCTAGATGTGGTAGTCTGTTTTACAAATACTTCAACAAATTAGCTGTAATTGGAGCAAATAGTGGTTCTGCAAAATATGACCGGAAGAAAGAGTGAGCTGTCCTTTATAAAAATATTAAAGCATGATTTGTAGTTTTTTTAATATTCTGTCTTGGTTTATAAGTCAAAATTCCACTAAGATGTTTTTGCTGTTTTGGGTTTGTAGTCATGATCGTAGTAATCATCAACTGCTTCATCCCAGACTGGGTCACAGGAACACCAGTCTCAGCAGAAATGCCCAGACACCTCCTCCAGCTCCTCTGGGGAAAGCCTGAAGCTTTAAGGGCTGGCCGAGGGGCATAGTCCCTCCACCACGTCCTGCCCTTTCTTTTAGATCTCTTTCCAGCGTGATGTGTCTGGAATACCTCTAAGGCTTTCAAAAAGGATGTCTAAGACTCCTCAACTGACTTCTTTCGATATGAGGAACAGGGATTCCTCTTGGTGATTGTCCGTGCAATGGAAGCTCTTTGCAGCTGCTTGTATCCAGAATCTCATTGTTCGAGTCATGACCCAGATTTCATGACCATATGTGAGGGTAGGAACCACCAATGTACCACTGGTACATTAAGACATTTGTTTGTTTGTTTTATCTCGGCTCTCTCTTCACAACAATAGATTGTTGTAAAGAGTATAACACAAGTGTGTTATACTCTTGAACAAGTGTATAACACACTTGAACTCTTCAAATTGAAACAGGAACTTCTCTCGGACCTGAAGCAGGCAAGGCATTCTTTTCCGGTTGGATTTGTTACACGACAAAAAAAGGTTGATGGTGTCAATACCGTTAA